TTAGGCTAGCTCTATTTTTCTTACAATTAATATTTTTGGAGGCTTGATAATTAATATTTGTATTTATATTATACTTTTTAAAGTTACCTTTGAGTTTTAACCATAATTTTAATGTGTAATATAAGGGTAAATACAAAATTGAAAAATTATAATTTTTTAATCAAATTAACATTTTATTTTTTCTCTTCCTAGGCTTTATTTTTAAAGGTGGGAGTTGATCCAAATAGCTCCTGGATGGACCCTCCGGGAGCTCCCACTCTTCTTCTTTTTGTTGATTAGGCTCCGGAAGCTCCCACACTTCTTCTTTTTGTTGATTGTGCTCCGGGAGCTCCCACACTTCTTCATTTTGTTGATTGGGCTCCGGAAAGGTCTGCGTCCCAACCTTATTTCAATTGGTGGTTAAAGCCCCAGCCCTAGCCGCTGGGTTATTCGCCAAGCATCTTATTTTATGGTACGGTAACCTCTTTAAAAGAACTCTGTGGCTGCTGTCATATGGACAGCTTACCATATAATCTAATACCTCTAATATATCTGCTTTTGAATAATAAATGAATTATTATAAGAATTGGTGGCGCCACCACGAGTCATAATTTTGCATTTCCCAGTATTACTTTTACAATTGGTTGGCGGCCATTTTGAATTTTCCGCCCATCGTGTACACGAGTGCACAGCCCAGCATGTGGCGCCACCATGCGGCCGAAATTTGAAGCACCATAGCTACTCTACTTACATTGTTGCATATCATATTTTCTTGCGTGTTTTTTTTCAATTTCTCATGAATTTTATTAAACACCTCCACTTCTTAAATTTAAAATGCATAGATGTGATTTAAATGTGCTGATTTCACTTTTGTATAATGTAACTTTTCTTGTTAACATGTGTCTAATGATAAAATTAAATGCTGACATGACAATTATTTTCATATAAAACCTTTTAAAATTATAATTTAATTTTATTTTACAAGAAACGTTTGTTCTTTTGTGTTTATATAATCAAAGTTAATTAAAAAAAAATGTTTTTCACAAGTTTCAATACGATGTGGTGTATCATAAAAATGGTTAGTTTGGTACCAATAGACCCATCAGAATATAAAACTAATTCATCCAGACGATGTGGTGGAGGTGGTGGCAGCTTGCAGATGGTTGTAAATTGTGATGAAAAAATTGCTTTTTGCAATAAGGAAAACCATAGGCTAAGTTTGGAAAATCAGGAAATGCGAAAAGAAATTGATGAATTAGAAAATAATTTAAATAGAGAGAACGAAAAATGCAAATTGACTGTGGAAATTATGGAAGAACAATATATAGAAGAGTGTAATGGGCAAGTCTTGATTGCGAAGGATTTAGTTAAGGAGTGTTATGCTTAAGTGAAAGGACTCGAGGAAGAAAATGTTAAAATAAGTATGTTAAAATTACATTTGCAAAGTAATTTAGAAATAATTAAAAATTTAAACCAAACAATAAAAGATTTGCAATGGGAAAATATAAAATTAAATAATTTATATAAAATTATTATACACTGATACAGATAGTTTAATTTATGAATTTACCAATTTAAATATTTATGATATTATTAAAAAAATTCCATGCAAATTTGATACCTCCGATTTTTCGCACGATAACAAGCATGGAATATTGCAATTAAATAAAAAAGAACTTGGATTATGGAAAGATGAAAACCAAGGAAGAATAATGACTAAATTTGTTGGACTTAAAGCTAAAATGTATGCTTATAAAGTTGAACATGATAAAATTACAAAAAAAGTAAAAGGAGTTCGAAGACCTGTTGTTAAAAGAATTACATTCAACGATTTTATAGAATGTCTTCAAAATTGTACCAATTTAATTAAAAGTCAAAATTTAATTATTTCAAGAAAATATCAAGTATTTACTAAAAAACAAAAAAAACTTGCATTATCATATGACGATGATAAACACAGTACCTTGGGGATACATCGAACAAAAATGAGAAAATATTCGAGTTGAAACTCGTTCAAGGTTAATTAACAGATTCGTAGTAGGTATTTCAAGAAATCATCAAGTATTTACTAAAAAACAAAAAAAACTTGCATTATCATATGACGATGATAAACACAGTACCTTGGGGATACATCGAACAAAAATGAGAAAATATTCGAGTTGAAACTCGTTCAAGGTTAATTAACAGATTCGTAGTAGGTAGTTGGCTGCGAGTCATTGAGATAGGTCAGTAACTTAAAGTCTATTGTTCAAGAATATTGACTTATACAATAAATTTAAATCAGTACAAATTATCTCGCGATATATTTTTACAGCAAACAGAAAATTTTATATTTCCAGTTTAAATTTAATGTTAATTAATTATATTTTACAAAAAATATTTGTACCAGATAATATTTTGCAATATAAAATATTAAAAAATTGTAGTTATGATGTGTTTGAAACAATAATTGAATCAAAAATAAATACTGACATTTTTGTGAAAAATGTTTTACAAAACCACAACACATCATCGTCACTGACATTTAACAAGAATATTAAAATAGAAGATCTTTTAACAGCTATAAATAATTTCATTTTTTATTATGATTAAAATTATAAATTAATGTTTGCAACAAATTTATTAGCAGATAAAATTTTTCAATGGAAAAATTATGTATGTCAAATGTATGTAAAAATTATAAATCAACATTATTTTATATAAATGATTTAGTTTGTGATGCAATCTTTAATGCAAATTATAAATTTTTGCAAATTTGTTTTGATTGGATGGTAAATTAACCATATACAAAATGAAAATCACATCAGGAAATTTACAAATGGATTTTAAATAATTTGGAAAAAATAAACCAAAACAAATCGGTTGGATGGAAAGAAGGTCCAAACAGTGGTATTTGGCCATTTTCAGAACCGCAAGATTACATAAAAACATTTAAAATTATAAAACCTTTTGTTAAATTTGATATTTAATAAAAAAACACTATAAACATATTTATTTAGTTTTATTTTCCTACTTCCTCCTGTTCTTTTATTTTTTTTTCTTTCAGATATAAGCAATTGCAAGGTATGTATGAATTTAGTTAAAACATTTATTTCATCAAATAACACGATGATGTAGTAGATATAAAAGGGGGATTTTTTGACAATCTGTGTCACTCTGTATCACAGTATCCCCCTGCATGCAAATGAATAGGATATGGATTGAAAAACATAATAAAAAAATTTTTTTGTCAGAGAATCCCCATACATGCAAAAGAATGAGATGGGGATTGAAATTTTTAGAAATTGTAGACTCATTTTATTCTGGTAATATTGAAGAGTGGCAAGCACAAATACTTTTTACACGTTTAATACCGCGAGTAAAGCAAATAGTTACATTTTATGAGCGACAGTGATTGTAGCAGTTTTGAGGAATTATTTGGAGATGACTACCCAAGAGCTATTGTGCGAGGACTTGGAGGAGGCCAGTCAAATTCTACAGTTGATGGAATTACATTGGAACGAAGAAACGAGCATGCTTTGTCTTCATGTTCTTCTTCGGTGTCTAGTAAACACAGCAATAGAAACGAAAGATTTGACAGCCAAAAAATGTGGGTGACTATTTCAACGACAGTGAAGAAAGTGATAAAAATAATGAAAAAGCAACAAATCCCGCTAGATTCTCCAATTACGTTCGAAAAATTCATCGAATTATTAAAAAGCGAAGAATTATTCATGAAATTATTTACTTTAAAAGCAAAGAAATCTGCAATAGACATGTTAGAGAATGCATTAAAACAAGATCAATGGCTAACATCGAATTGCTCTTCTGGCATAGAGACCACCTCCACTGCATTCACGACTGCTCCTATTGCGACTCAAAGTGCAAATGTAGCCGGTACCAGCAATTACGAAGTGACAGGAGATTCAATAGAAAAACTTTTTGGAATTTCAGACTTGGAATCGAGTACTGGAACAATCTCCTCGTTTATTCAGAAAAAGAGGAACGAAACATTGTATTCCTTAAATGCAGAAAGTCCATCTGGGTACGAAGTAGTGAAATTGGAGGTTTATCCAAGTGCAGAAATTATGGATTTGCCGAAACAGGAATGGTGGAGATACGCGAAGACGAGGGCAATTTTCCCGATCCCTTCAAATGTGGACCCAATGAAAATGATGGTGGACAAACTAGTAATAGCAGCAGGCAAAACATTGAAGGACAATCCAACGTCAAAAGTGGATCGAAAGAAAACAAACTCATCGCGTGGTTACGGGAACAACCGACAAGCCCCATACTAAACATTTTGACAACAACTCAATTTTACAATAGTAAATTCGTATTTTGGAATATGAAGTTATACAAAAATAATAAATGTTTCGAAATTTTTGCTAAATCGTTTGTAGATATGTCAACTAGAGAAATATTTAATTATGCTTGTAAATGTAAACCTCTATATCATGCTAATAATGGTGAAGTTGCCGAATATTATTATGATTTAGAAACATCTATATATATATTAGATTCTTTATTAAAATTTCAATTTGATTCAGATTATAATAATATTCAATTATTTTTAGTGGATTTATATAATGTAGTAGATAAGTTAGTTAGTAAGGTGAATTGTTTTTTTTTAATAGGTCCGCCAAACTCTGGTAAAAATTATTTCATGGATGCTGTTATTCATTTTTATTTTAATTTTGGTCAAGTGCATAATTTTAATAAATACGATCAATTTCCATTAATGGAATGTTGGAATCGTAGGATTAATTATTGGAATGAACCTAGTTGTGAACCAGCTTCTTTTGAAACTTTAAAAATGTTGTTTGGAGGTGATCCATGCCCTGCAAAAATAAAATATGAATCTGATAAAGTTATCATGAGAACACCAATACTCATAACTAGTAATATTGATTGTTTTCCAAAAGACGAAGCCTTTCGAACAAGAATGATAAAATATAAATGGAACACAGCATCTTTTTTAAAAAATTATAATAAAAAGCCACTTCCTTTAGCTTGGTGGCATATATTAAATAAGTATAATGTTTACGAAAAATTATTAACCAATGAATTTGAAGATATGGATATGTTGGAATTACCTAATGTAGATGATTTAGAAATAGGGGATAATAATACACTTGATGAAGAAATGTACTTTTAATAAAATTTAATATTTACAAATTTTTTCATTGCAAACCTTCATCATAATAACCCATAACAGTAGTAGCTCCTCCATTATATTTAGTTGTCTTCTGACTATGAAATACTGCTTCGTAATTGGAACATGCAACAAATTGGAATTGGGATAGAAACTGTTAACATTATTTCTTATTTCCATTTTAAATACTACTTCATAATAAATACTAGAATTTTGTATATCAGTATATTCTAAACTTGGATTAATTTTCGGAGTAGGAAATAAGGCAACATGAACCTGTGGTTGTGCTTGTTGAGTCTTGTTATTATGAGGCCTAAAAACATATGGCTTTTCTATAGGTTGTTTGTAAGTGTATGTTTTTGCTGTTTGATATTTTCCATCAGTACCCTCATAAGGAGTAGACTTTGCAGTTACTGTAGCTTTACCATCTTTTTCTTGGACTAATGTTCTATCCAATTGAACTACAGTATTGTTTGAAATATTATCTGTATCACTACCAATATTAAAATCAACTACAGGGGTTCCTCGAATAGGTGAATACACAGGAGAGTAATTATAATTAACTATTGTATTACCTACATGTGAGTTTACATGATATCTATCCATGTATTTTTTTAACATTGGTGGACCATTAATATGTACAGGATAATCTGGTTTTCCAGCTGGAACTTTATCAAAATTTTCTAATATCGCTGCATAACCTGTAATTGATCGAGGAGCACCCATTATACTGCTTGCCACATCAGAATATAATTTTTTTACATAAGCATCTTCATCAAAAGTAGTTACTGCAGTAGGTTTCATAGGAGCAGTATTAACTGCTGTATATTGAACATTACGAATAGGTAGTAATTTATTCATACCTATAATACTAGCACCGAGGGATACGTGTTCCGAATTTGCAACTCCACTTAAGGTTGATCCAGTATCAAAAGCGGTACGAACACCCAATACTTTAATAGAACAATGTACTCTACTCACATAACTATTATTAGGTATAGTATTGAATTCTGCTATACTTAAATAAGACGGTATATAATCTACCGGTATAAAAGCAAAAGGAGTAGTTCTAACATCAACTTCAGCATCCATAGCAAACTTTTCAAAATTAAAACCATAACCATATAATATAAAAGCTTTTTCAAATGTTGTTTGAAAAGATGGAGTTAGGGGAGATCTATATAATCGTAATAAATTGCCTCCTGCGATTGATCGACTGCCTCCACTCTCGGTCGAATGATTTTCCACCAAATTAGGAACTTCCAACATAGGCTCATCGTCATCACCCATATCAATATTCCAAAAACCGTCTGGAACGATTTGATTTCTATCAATAACTGACTCAGGAGGTTTGGCTGAGGAACTGGAGGTTCTGGAGGGTCCAGCTTGCGGTTCTTTTGTACTTGTTCTATAAAATTCTTTTCGTACTTCGTCGTATGTAATTTTTGGATTGTTTAATTTTTCTTCTTTGTAACGTTTACTTAAATTTTTTTGTCTATCAGCATAAGCTTTGTTGCCAGCGTTCGTTCTTTTTAAACTTTTTTGCGTAGAAGACATTTCTGTTAATATTTTAATAAGAAATCTAATTAAACTCACCTGGATAAACTACTCCCCAAACACTTTCACCTATATATTTTGTTAATAACCCCAAAGCTCCTACTGCAGAATGCCAATTGCCAGTATTTTGAATATCTTCAACAAATTTTTGTATAGCTATTAAATCAGCGTTTCGAATATCTTAAGAACTGCGACTTTCTAGATAAGCTATATCGTGAATAAGTGCAATTCTATCGTCTTCGTCTATTGGTTCGTCTGTATTAACTTCGTTACCAGGACCTAAGTATTTATGGCCAGGAAATAAGTACGGAGGCATACTGAGGTGGTAATAGAACATTCCATTTGTATTTATACAAATAGAGGGTGGGGTAGGGGTAGGGTACTTTGACTGAAAAGAGGTTTTAAAATTTTGGCTTTAAAAGCTGGGGTACGTGTGGTACGTGTGTGGTGTCGATCGATTCAATTCGGCCCGAAGGGCCATGAATTATGAATCATGATCATGATGAATTATTGTCTTTGTCACAGTAGCCCCCTGCATGCAAATGAATAGGATGGGGATTGAAAAACACGATAAATAAAATTTTTTGTCAGAGAATCCCCTTACATGCAAATGAATAGGATGGGGGTTGAAAAACAAAAATAAATGCTTCTCAACTCTTATGGAATGTTTGATAGTTAATCGGGCACAATGTACTCCGATCCTAGCCAAATTAATTATATGTTATTAATAAAAAATAAAAAAATATTTTCTTTTTACTATTTTGATTTACCTCGTATAAGTTAAAATTTGCATATTACTTTGTAACACAAAGATTTTGCATGTTGTAAAAATTCAATTTTTTTTACCAAGGAATGTGGTTAATTTATTTTATCAGGTAAAGTTATCTGCATCATGTTTTGAAGATTGCATTTTTTTTAAATTATGCAGTTGCACCTGTGTTAACTTGTTGAAACAAGTTTACTTGCTTATCTCGATTCCTTCAATGTATTAACCCAATTTAACAAACTTTCGTATTTAAATTTCGCAAATATAATTTTAATAAAAGTTTAAATGATTTGCATTTTTACATTTATGTTGTATATGCAAAATGCAAATATCAAAACAACAAGAGGCTATATACTTAAATATATCTATTTAAATTAGGTTTGGTCATTATAATCATGAGCCTAGACAAATTCGGACATCATACTTCAATTCATGTTAAAAGCTATGTCGTTGATAAAAAATATTTTAAAAATAATTTAAATGATTTTTATAAAAGTGTATACGATTCAATAGAATCTGTAATAGATAGTTCAGACATCGAATTTTTAAATCTTAAAAAAAGTATTGAAATTTTCAAAAATCAAAATAATTCTAACAATAGAAACATGAAAACAACAGACACTAATTTTAAATCAATAAAACAACAGGTAACAAAATTGTAAAAAGATTTTAAAAGTAAAATACAAAAGGATTATAAAGATATAGTAAATAAAACAAATGAAAATGTTTAAAAAAACTTAAAACAGTTTAAATCCGATCAGGACAAAATATTAAACGAGGCTTTAGAGAAAACATTAAAAATTATATTAGATGCTTTACAGCGGATTGATAATTTCGAAAAAATACTTGATCAAGAAGAGAAACTTATAAAGAAAAATGAAAAGTTATTAGATCAACAAGCAATAGATGCAACAACTAATACAAAATTTGAAAACTTTAAAATTCAATTAGAAGAACTTAATAAAGCTATTAAATATTTTGAATTACAGACAAATTCTAATAATACTACATATATTATTAAGTTTGATAATATAGAAAAACGAATAGAAAAATTAGAAACAAACCCTTAAAATATATAATATAAAATAAAATTTAATTTTAAATTTGTGTGTATGTCTAGGCATAAGTATGTAAAACTTATGCAACATTGCGCAAAAAAGATTTGGTATGTATAGTAGTAGGGGAAATTAAAATAATATATAAAGTCAATTTATTTCTTACTTTTATTATATTAATTTTATTATTGTTCAAGAATTAGTACCCGTTGTACCTAATTAATAATCATGAGTAACATTCTTGCCAAACTGAATGATTGTCAAACTCTACCATTTATTAAAGTTAAGGACTTAGAAGAAAATAAAAAATATGAGCTTGTTGGGATGGAAAATGTGGTGAGTTTATAATTGTAAAAATAAAGGAACTTCCAAATTATATAATTTTACCACAACGTTTTTTCGAACTAATTCCGGAATTAGGAAAAATTAACCGAGAAATCAATAATAAAAAAATGTACTTAATAATGGAAGTTTCTAAAATAAATAAATAAATAAATAACGTATTTATTAATCCTTATGTAAATACATACTATGTAAGGTTACAACAAAGATTAAATGGCCAATGACCGAGGTCCTTCAGCCAAATGCGCTTAATTTTAAATTGATAATATATAATAATAATGACAATGGTAATGTTTTTTAATTATAGTATAGAATGAAAAAAAAAGAAAAAAAAAGTTAGTCTAAAATGGATTTGAAAATTTCTAGTCATGTCTTTTCGGGATGTTTGAATTTCTGTTCTTCTGGGTGTCTTGTAAAGCAGTGTTCTTCCAGTGTTTCTATGTTGTGTTGTTTTAGGCAGAAATTTGTGGTTAGCCTTTGAAGTCTATCTTTGATTGGTTCAATCCCTGTTCTCCTGTACAACAGTATGTTTGATGGATTGTGTAGGGGGTTGTTGGGGTGCCGTATTCTGGTAAGTATCCTAAGTGCTGATGTCTCTCCCACTTGAATGTTCTTTATTGTGGACTTTTGAGAATTTGCGTAAATTGGCCAAGCATATTCTAAAATGGGCCTGCAAATGGTTTTGTATATTTTGCAGGCTACGTCCATGTTTATCCCATCTCCCTTGTAGGTCAGTGCTCTGAAGTGTTTTGCTCTTGCTTGAATTTTCTTCTTGGTCATCTGTGAGTGTTGTTTCAGGTTTATTTTGTTGTCTAGATGGATGCCAAGATATTTTACTGATGTTTTTGGGAGGATTGGAGTGTTGTTTAGATTCAGACTAGGGGAGTTGGGCTTGGGAGTGTGGTTGAATATTATAAATTGAGATTTTAGAGGATTTATCTTAAGTTTCCATATGTTAAACCATTCTTCCACTTTTACTAGTGCCTTTTGAAGTATTTGCGTGGCTTTTTTTGTTGTTTTTTCGTGTGTTATTATAGCAGTATCATCTGCAAATTGTAGAATGTAACTATTGATATCCATAGTAGGTAGGTTGACGATGTCAGAGCAGTACAAATTGTATAGTAGAGGGGAAAGGGGGGAACCTTGTGGAACTCCCTGTTCTGCTGGAAATGCATTTGAGGTTTTTTGTCCAATTTGTACTAACAGTGATCTTTCTTGCAAAAAGCTGTTGATGATTCTTAACAAATTTTTTGGACAATTCAGATTATTAAGTTTAAATAGAAGACCTTTATGCCATACACTTTCAAACGCTTTTTCTATATCTAAGAATAAGCCTGCTGTTTTTTTACCTTTAAGTCTTGCTGTCTGTGTGTTGGATAGGATAATTGTTATAGGGTGTGTTGTGGATGTGTTTGCTTTGAATCCAAACTGAAAACTGGGAATGTTTTCGCCTATAGCATGTTCAATTTTGTTTTTGATGATTTTTTCGAAATTTTTTCCCAGAACTGGTAAAAGGGTTATTGGTCTATAGTTCTTCAATTTGCTATGATCAGAATTAGGTTTTGGAATTGTAATTATAACTCCGTCTTTCCATTCTTTTGGAAAATATGCGTTCTTGAGACAAAATTGGTAAATTTTTATTATGTGTTCGTGTATTTTGTGATCTAAATTTTTTACTATTTTGTGTGTAATTTTGTCCTTACCTGGAGCAGTGCTTTTGTTTTTGTGAAGCACATTGTAGTGTGGAAGTTTCTAATGATTATTATAATGTTAAATTTTAAATTTGGTATATGGTTTAATAATTGGTTTTTATATTTTAGGAATATTAATTAAATAACATATTTTTAATAATTTTATAACCTTTAAGTTTATTTTATGTTTTAGGAATATTTAAACATTTTTTAAAATATTTAAACCCTTAGGCACCTCGTTAAGTACAATAAAATTTAACGTTTTCCATAGCAAAAAGATGATAATTTAAAGAATTTAAAAATTAAAATTACTTATAAATAAATGTTGTGTACCATATTTTTTTGATCAAAATAAATGTTTTAAGATTATTTCTTGTTTTCATTAATTTTTTAACCTGCTTTCTTTTTTGATCCTAAATGATTTGGTAGGGGGCAAGTAATATATATAAAAGGCAGTTTAATTTTAGCTGTATTACATTCTAGAAGTAGAATAAAACAAGATGCATTCTGTAAAAAATTTCATCATAAAAATGAAAACAGTTAGAGAAGAAAGAAGAAAATTGAGAAAAAACAATGAGATGCTGCAGGATCCTGAAGAATGGCAGGACGACTTCACTCAATTCGATTTGTTTGGAATCCGTTTTTTAGAAAGATGGGGTGAGGATAGTTACCTAGATGATTGGTTCCACCCAGCGTGGACCAAAGGATACCTATGGTTTTACAATTTATAAAAAATAAAGTTTTAAAACTATGGTTTTACAATTTATAAAAAATAAAGTTTTAAAAATATTTAATGTTTTAATTAATCCTGTTAAATAAATTTATATATATATACAGGGTTTTCATTTCAAAACTTGCCACCCCTATTATTTCCATATATATATATTTTTTTAAATCGCCGAGACCCGTCAATTTTGTTTTTGAGGGGGAACAATTTTGACGTATAAATTAGCTCTCCCCCTTTAACCCCCTACCCTCCAGAGCCACCCCTACAAAAATCTTAAATGAGAAAGGGGGTCGAGTGATACTTCATTTCAAAGGGCTTTTTATTCTCTATATTTTGGCATATTATTTTTCAAATTTGGGTGTTGCGTTGCCGAGTTAGGCGTGTGTCAATTTGAAAAGTTCCCACCACCTATTATTACACTATTTTTGTTCAAATTTGTCCAAATTTAACAGCAATTTTAAGATACGCTCCCTCCACGTTTCTAAAATAATGGAATTTATACTCAAAGATTTACTTAATACTTAGTCTACATGGACGACATAATCATATTTTCAAAATCAATAAAAGAACATAAAGAACACCTTCTACAAGTTTTTCACAGATTACGCGACGCTAACCTAAAAATACAACCCGACAAATCAGAATTCTTTAAAAAAGGCGTTGAATTCTTAGGACACATTATCACACCTAATGGTATACAACCAAACCCAAAGAAAATCAAGCAATAAAAAAATTTCCTTTTCCTAAAACCCAAAAAGAAATTAAATAATTTTTAGGATTGATATGATATTATCGCAGATTTATAAAAAACTTCGTCCATATTACCAAACCTTTGACAAAATGCTTAAAAAAGGACCAAACCGTCACGCATACCCAAGAATTTATAAACTCTTTCGAGAAATGCAAAAATATATTAATGAATCCACCAATCCTACAATACCCTGATTTCGAAAA